TATAACATAAATAGCGTTAGTTTCTAGTTTAATCTTCCTCTTTGTAATGATCACTTGGTGATCGAAACACGTGTCAAGGTGTTAAAAATAACGATTTGGTGTTGGGAAAAAACTCCAGTAATATTCATTACTACACCAAAGGTTTCAAACAGTGCATCATAAGTTTGGAGTAGACTCATAACAACAGATAAAACTTTTACAACAACCTTATAATAATCGTAACACACTGACGAAGAAAACAAAGACCATCAAGATCAGTTTCAACTAACAACATTATGCGAGGCTATTAATACTATAACAGTTCTACATTACAAAATTTGTTGCTTTCAACGAAGAGTTTGTTGGTGATGATCAAGCAATCTTGACCAGAATGAAACGTAAAATGCAAAACATCTTTGGGGCTCAGCTTGAAAAAAGCGGACCAAAACGACCGTTTACTTCAACTAGATGTAGTCTATGAGCTGTACTGTAGGTACTGCAATTTTTTTCAGAATAATCATTATTATGTATATCTTTTCTCGAAATTTCATTTGAATATGAAGAAATTCATAAGCATAACTTATTCCCATACTAAGTACATAAATATTTAAAAACTCTAAACAAACATATGACAATTAATGACTATGTACTTGTGTATAACAACTTATAACAACTATTGGACATAACATCCCAATTTATACAGTCCCTTCAGTGATGAGGGAAAATCTAGGTGCACTTAGATTGATTCATAACCTATTAGGTTGAAAAAAATAAAGTACAATTTGTTAAAAATTTCAAAATCACTAATTTCCCAAACACTACAAAGAAAAAAAATGGATAAAGTGGTGTTACCAAAAAAATACAAATAAATACAGTTCAAGATTGTCTTTCAGGTTATGTCAAAGAGTGGCCAAATTTGCAAAGACCATAAAGAAGCAACATTGTTGAAATCTGTTTTTCTGTTAACCCGCTGTCGCCCCCCTACGAACGAAAACCCTCAGAAGTCAACACTTGTGCGAGCAAAGGTTTAACAAAGTCTAACCTTTCAACGTGCCATTCTTTGTATTCCACAAAGTACCTATTTGATATCTGGATCAAAAGGATTGATGAATATTCATTGTTGAAATAACAAATTTTTATAGCACTCAATTCAGTACATCAGAAAGGATGCTTCAGTGGCTGAGGAAGAGAGAATAGTTCTAGATATTGTTTGTGGGCATGATCATCACTACTGCTAAAAAAAACCTGAAGCAAAGTTGGCTCCTTTTTATGAAATTTATGTTGCAGCAATATACTGGTGGTGATACAGACATAATTAGATAATTAAAGAGAGCCAAGAAAACTGGTAGGTCTTTTTCAAATACGTTATCAAGTTTACCAACATATCAGGATTTCTTTTTTTATATAGAAACACATAATAGGAAGTTTGATTTTGTGCTGCCTAAAATACCTTATTTGAAGAAGTACAATAAATTTTCATACAAAGAATACATGACGGTATTTGAAGGTTTAATTTTATCAATGAATATGTTATGATGCATCTTGATTTTTGTTTTGTTATAATTTTGAATTTTAATTATACAATAGCCTCCATTTTTGTTGTATCGCCTACAAAACTAGAAAACTGAAAATTGAAAACCCTTCAAATCATCTCGATACTCGAATTTTTTCTCTTGTTTCTCAAACAATTTCAATCATATAATTGTTCATGTTAGTGAGTTAAACGATAAATGAATAAATGAAAAACTAAAATTCAATTATTGTGTGAATATCAAAATGCACAATAATCCATAAAATATTTAGTGCTGTAGGCAAAGCTGTTAAATGAAAACATAGAAAACGTAACAAAACAAAACACTTTGAAAACAGCTTCAGCGACATGTGGCATTGGCATCGGATATTGTTTACCTATTTTTTCGGAGAGTTGGTAAGTTTGTTGATGACACGTGTAAGTGATCTGTTGTCGGCCTTTAAACGCTCATTCTCAGCTTTCAGTTTTTGTAATTGCTAAAACAACAACATGAATTTCAAAATGTTCCCTCAAGACTTGATTTTTATTTAATCTGTCTTTTGGAATTCAAGGTGATAATAATTTGTTAATCTCGGGCTGCCACTAATATTTTTTGGGAATATTTAAGAACAACTACATGTTAAAATAATTTATGGATACTTCCTAAAACCAAACGCTTCCAACACTCATTATATTTTCCAACACTACTGAAATATATATACACTAATAAATATATACTAAAATATATGAGAAGATGAAATGATGGTGTTGGAGGATTTATTCAATATAAGGAGGAGGATATATTCAATATAATATATTGAATAAATCCTCCAACATCATTTCATCTTCTCAATCTCATATATTATATCATTTCATTTATGCCAAACGCAAAGAGATGATAATGACTTGAAGATAAAGCATTATAGTCTGGGTCCTCCTCTCCACATTCTTCTGGAGAGAGAGGCTAGATGGACTGCATACAGACTTGTGCACACTGCCAATTGCACAAATCAATTTAACGCAGAGTACCACAGACTTTTGGTTGACACTGGAAGTCACAGCATTCAGGAAATGACCTCTGACTTTATGCCTCCAACTGTCAACTACGAACTGCCTTATAAAGTACTATTCCCGAGTAGAAAGGACTGGATCCTGCGGGAGAAGGAAATATTAAGAGCAGATAGTTGTTGGTTCACAGATGGATCAAAAACACCTTCCGGTTCTGGTGCAGGTGTTTTTAGTCGCAGACCCAGGACAGAGATATCTACCTGCCTAGGGATTGAAATTGGATAAATCCAACCTCATACACAAGTCTAGTGTCCGACCGAAAGTTCGGTTTCGGTAGAGTTTCGGATTTCGGTTTAGTTTCGGTTTCGGCAGCAAACCTACCGAAACTATGACAGAAACTGCATTCGGGAGTTCTCGCGCTGTGATCGGGCATGTTCGGGCGTTGAATTTCATACAAGTGACGAAGACATTTTGCCATGTCCATCTGCCTTACATGTCGTGACTCGTTACTTACTTTGTGATTTAAGTACCTATTAAGTACCTATGTTGATATTGAGTAACAACTTAAATAAGTAATTTTATGTTTACTATTTTTGAAAAACCACTGATAATATTCAAAAGAAGATTCTACACCTACTCAAATAAACACTTCACCTACTTTAAGTATTTTTAAGGTGCAATTAATATTTTTTCTTAAGTAAGGGGTTGTTATGTTGATTGTTGATTATCAATAAGTGAAAATGTCGAAGACTACATAACGTTGTGATTTAAAGATGAAAAAATTAAGGCTGACTGATTATATAATGTTTGCTTTATGTTTCCCTCAAAACATAATCTTTGTAAGGAAGTTTCAGTTTCGGCGGAAATTGAGACCGTTGCCGAAATTCGGTTTCGGTCGTAAAAACCAGTTACGGTCGGATACTACACAAATCATTAAAAATATTCTCGGACAGTCAAGCGGCGTTGAAAGCTCTTGGCGTCTACTGAGGAAAGTCTCAATTGGTAGCAAACTGACAAAAACGACTCTCCTCGATAGGAAGACTTAACAGATTGTCTCTGGTCTGGATTCCTGCCCATACTGGCCTGGAAGGCAATGAAGCTGCTGACTCCCTTGCAAAGGAGGGTGCTGCAAGCAGCTTCATCGGACCAGAACCTATCATTGGCATCGCTTTAGGCTTTGCCAAACAAATATTGAACACCTGGATGGCAAGCAGATTTATGGACTTCTGGCAGAATCTTCCAGGATTGGCTCACCATTCGAAGCTTGATACCAAACAGTTGTTGGACTACAGTAGGGATGAACTATGATGTCTAACAGGCCTTCTTACAGGTCACTGTCATTTGAATCATCATATGTAGAGTCTCGTACTGTCGGAAGACAGTGTGTGTCGCCTCTGTTTGGAAAATGATGAAGAAACAGCAGAGCATATACTTTTTGCCTGCCCCGCTGGGGACCGAATCAGGTTTTTAGAGTTCGGCAGAGCCGTACTCTTACCATCTGACCTGAAAGACCACTCACCATACAAACTAATCAGCTTCGTTGAGAAGCTGGGTTTATTTGGTCGAGTGTGAATAGGTGTGAACCACAATAAACCATTGCGGGTTGCGCTGGAGGGTCGAATAGAACCACTCACTTTCGACCTAACCTAATAGTCTGGGTCACAAGATCCTTTTTTTGGAACTTATGTCCAAGGGCACCGAAAATTATGATTAAAGGCTGATTCGATACGGAATTACCTAACTTTTTGAAAAATTTCAAGAGGGGCTCGAAATTTAATAAAAGGTCCTTAAAGAGGAGGAAATTTCCTTTGAAAAGGTCTAACCTCCCGGTACTCTATCACCAATATTTATAATTTTAATTTAGAGGCGAAAATAGCGCTAAAAGCGGGCAATGCGCGTCCCGTACGCGCTGACCAATACGGACCTTTGAACAATAAAAATTATTTCAAACCATTGAATATCATTACTATGAAAAAAAATTCACACACCTTCTAGACACTTGAATAAACGAAAATCCATGGAAAACATTTTTTCCGTGATTATTTTATTAGATTTAGTTAATCATCTCATTTTAAAAATTTTAAATTTACTGATAATTTTTAAACTAAAAACCTCAAATTGTGTTCACTTCTTGTAACTTTAATTGAATTTTTCACTTTCCAACGTCTTTGATCATTAATAACAAAGTGGAAAATCAATTTTTTTTATATTTCCAACGGGAATCTTTTTTGAAGGCTTTCAAGAAACATAAGAGACATAAGATGATGTCGAATACAAGCCTAGAGCGAGATCAGGCCAATAATTACTCAACATGATTTCTTTCGCACACTTTCGGACACTTCGATCGCTGATGTAATAAACTGATGAAAATTTACAATTGATTTTAAAAAAAACAATCAAGTGATTCGGTCAAAAATGACTTTGATTCAGTGTTGAAACTCTAATACCATTAGTACTGTAGTTCAATATGTTCATAAAATAGATGGCCAAAAGGTTCACTAACCTTTAGCTCCTCTTCCATTTCGCTTAGTTTTCGTTCCATGGCTCTTCTTTCGCGTTTTTCCAGTTCGGATAACGAGTTTTTACTGGTCTGAAACGGAAAAGTTGTTGAGTATTAAAAAAAAACAACAATGAATAAGCAAGTGACCAGTTTGACCAATATATCCCTTTGGGCACGTGCCACACTTTAATTTATATACTCCTGATTTCTCGAATTTTGATGTTTTATCTTTATTACTTTTAACTAACTTTCCCAACGTATTACTTGTTCTATATGCAATTTTAATATATCGTTTTCTCAAAAATGAAGCCACTTTTTCCGTTGGTTGTCCAAAATACGTTAAAGCTCTATAATTTTGATTATCTACTATTTTCGTTCCATGGCTCTTCTTTCGCGTTTTTCCAGTTCGGATAACGAGTTTTTACTGGTCTGAAACGGAAAAGTTATTGAGTATTAAAAAAAAACAACAATGAATAAGCAAGTGACCAGTTTGACCAATATATACCTTAGGGCACGTTCCACACTTTAATTTATAAACTCCTGATTTCTCGAATTTTGAGAATTACTTTTAACTAACTTTCCCAACGTATTACTTGTTCTATATGCAATTTTAATATATCGTTTTCTCAAAAATTAAGTCACTTTTTCCGTTGGTTGTCCAAAATACGTTAAAGCTCTATAATTTTGATTATCTACTTCAATAGGAAAAACGTCTTGAATCGCTTTTGCTTCCTTGGAAAGTATTTTGTTTATTAATTCGGCTTTAAACCCATTGTAAAGCGCAATTTGCTTGATGATATTGAGTTCTTTATTGAAATTATCTATTGAAAGAGGAGCATTGACTAATCTGTGAATCATGCTATTATAAGCTGCTACTTTGTGAAAGTTAGTTAAAAATAATAAAGATAAAACATCCAAATTCGAGAAATAAGGAGTATATAAATTGAAGTGTGGAACGTGCCCAAAGGGATATATTGGTCAAACTGGCAGAACATTTAGGAATCAAACTCAGGAACATCATACGAGCTATGTAAATAAGAAAACAAATTCAACATATTCATATCATCTTCTAGAAGATGTTATATATATTATATATAATGTAAGAACAACTTGAAGTATTTAAATCACTTGATAAAGAAGCTACTGTGCCAGCGAAACATGTTCTGATATATTTTTCAAATAAAGTTTGTGGAGATCAAATCGTGAGGTGTAGTTTTTGAAATTACTATGGATCTTCATCAAGTAACGGCCGAATCAATCAGAAAAAAAAAGAGATGTAATACATTGTTCTTGACTGGTATTCTACTAAACTGTTTTTTTCAATTGCAATGTAGAAAAACTGTGTTCCACATCTGTAATTGACTTCTGTTCTTCCAGTTTTTTAGCTTCAATTATTTCAACTCTTGAATGTATACATTCATTAATGCATTTTTATAAGACTTTTATTTTTGATTTGAACTTTCAACTTTTTGTTTCAATGTTGTACAATATATGCAACTTGGTCTTAAACAGTCTTTGAATATTTCTTCATGTCACCCAAACAATTACTAAATTCGTCGATGAATATGAACAAATAAATGAACACTTACAACCAGATTGATTTTTTCCAAAGTCTGTTTAGTTTCCCTCAATTCTTCGTCCGATTTCCTTAATTTGTCCTTGAGTCTTTCATTCTCGACTAGTTGCTGTTCATACAACTTTTTATAGTCAATTTCTCCATTTTCGTTTCGAATGTCGGAGGTACTACTTATCCTGGATCTGCTGCTTCTGTCTGTTCCACTCTGTAACAGAATATAAAGAAAAATAAGTAAATAAATAAATAGTTAAAAGATAGGAGTTAGCTATTCCTGGGACACTTTATATCAATACTCCCGCATACATTCCATTACGAATGTTTGGTGATCAATGTTCACACTCGAAAATAGTTGTTTTGGATAGAATTTTCATCTGGTGGAGTTTTATTGATGTGTTTTTCTTCAATTTATTTTTGGAAATCCCTCAGTATTTAGATTTTATTAGAGGATTCCCCAAAAAATGATATCTTTTGAAAATACTTTTTCATTTTCATGTTTCAATGACAAACCTCTTAGATGAGTTTAATCTGTCAATCACAAACATACAAGACTCTTTTCTTCATATTGTTTTCACAGTTTCAGAAAAATAAAAGAAGTCCAGCTTGTTTAGTACCAGTCTATAAATATATGCAGTAAAAAAATAAAAATAGAATATTAGTTTTCACGGAGTTCCAAATCGTTCAACTGCATTCTTTCTAAATTCCTGGGCCTTATCAATACATTCGATGAATACCTCCTTTTTCCCGTTTTTATGTAAAGTAACGATGGGCGCTGCGTTACGAAATGTAACATAATCCCTTTCATATTGTTATTCAGAAAGATGAACATGGTCCAGTCATCTTAGTCAAAATTTGGTAAGTATCTCGGAATTTGAGATACCCAGCTATTAACTCTTTTAAACTTGTGTTTTGACATTCTAAAAGTTGTCTCAAAACCTACATATAGTAGGGTGTACGCGACTATTAAAATCCAAGGTCAAAGGTCTTAGCCTTGAACAGATAACGTGTTACCTCAGGGCTAGTACTAGAGTGCCACCAAGATTTTGCTAAAGCCTCGGTAGATGATAACATTATCATTATAAAGAGCACGACAGGAGTGAAGGCAATCGCATTGCCGACTCTTTAGCCAAGGAAGCGGCTGGACTAAGAATTTTAGGACCCAGTGGCACCTACGGCCTGATGACTTCGACAATTGTAGAACTAGCCAAACGTCACACACAAGCTCAGGATCACCCTGGTCGACCCTGGGAAGCTGGCGCCGAACAAATATCTGGCGATAACCAGGAAAAATCTACGCTCAACAGTAGGATTTCTGACTGGCCACTGTCAACTAAGGAAACACCTCCATATTATGGGGCATACCTCTATGCAGTATGTGTGAACAGGAAGATGAAACTGTCAGGCATGTCCTATGCGAGTGCCGGGAGTTATCGTCAATAAGAGAGTGTGTGTTCGGCGAGTCTTGCCCTACACCTGCCGATATAAAGGAGATGCACCCTCCTCCTCCCACACTTCACCTCCAACAGCAAGGGCACTTCCTGCGGTCTATTTCTAAGGAGCTGTTCGAAATACAATTCCCTCCAGATTTGAAAATATACGTTGATTCTTTTAGTTTACATCTCTTAGAGTGAGGCTCATTGGTAATCATTCTTGTCTTGTTCCATTCAACTCGATGTTCACCGTCTGATTTTAAAATGAGTTCTGTCCTGTAGATCCTGTCAATTGTCTATATTTTATGTTATCTCGATGCTCATTCTCACACATTTTCAATGGTCTCTCGAAGTTTCACTAATATAACTTTTACCACAAGAACAAGGTATCTCGTAAATGCAGTTTTTTGTGTTTTCTTCAGTGTTGTTGGGTTTTGTATGTGTGAGTATAATAGATCACAGTGTATTTTTTATTTTGAAAATAGTTCTAACATCATACCTATTTCCAATTCGTCTTATTTTTTCAGATAGTCGTAAGGTATAACGTTAGTTGTGAAAGATGTCGGTGGATGTTGAGTCGGTAATTGTTGAGGTGGTCGGTACATCAAAGAAAGGGAGTAGACCATCTTGTGGCGAAATGGCAACAGACTGATATCGGAGAGTACCTTGTATTACATCGAATGATTCAGTTGTCAATCAACAACATTGACATAATTTCACATTTCACAACTCCTTTGACATTGATAATTTTCATACTTTTCACATTGTGGAAGGTAAAAATACTTAAAAAAAAGGTCGGTAGAAAATTTCATATTCATTGCTTTCTAGGAGTATACCCAGCGAATGAATTCAACGAAATAGGGGTAAACTAGATCATCAACAACACTTTCAAACAATAAGTTGAGCATTTTTATTACGCAGTTCAAAAGTGCTCTAAAATCACTTGAAAGTTGACAGTGGCATACGGTGATTGTACTCTGCGTCAGAAAAATGTTTACAAGTGGTACACAAGCTTTTCATAGAAGATGTGAATTTCGATACTCGGCCTGGACGCCCCTGAATAGTTTGGCAGCGAAGTTCGTTCCAAAATTGCTCAATATTGATGAAAAAAAACCGTCGCATGAGCATCGCTCAGGAATTTTTTTAATAACATCAACGGCGATCCAGATTTGCTAAAAAGGGCCATAACTGGTGACAAATCATGTGTAATAATTAAGATAGGGGACTTTAAATGTTTTGGGAACTGGCAATACTAATGCCAATAGGTAAAATGTGGCAACACCATAATGAAGTTTGATATTTTTTTTGGCGTAAACTAATTCACAACGTTTTGATGTACAACCATTTGTTTGCCGGAAGTCTTCGGAGAAAATGGTAAAACTAACGAATCATTCTCTATCATGACAATGTCAGCTCTCACACATCTCGTCAAATAGGTGAATTTTTGAGCAGTCAAAACGTTAGATTGATGACGCATCCTCCGTACAGTCCTGTTTTGGCATTAAGATTAGAACCGAATCGCTGCACATACCAAAAAGTGCGTATCATAACTGCGTTGAGGATTGGAAAAAACGCGGCCCCGAGTGTATTATATCTGAGGGGGGGCTACTTTGAAGGGGACTCAGTGGCGAATAACACATTTGCCGCCAGTAGGCTATTCCAATTTTGCCGCCCCTTCCGACCTCTGCATTTCGATACCCTACACGGACAAAAGACGGTGGACGAAAATATTTTAGAATTAAAAGACTGAAAAATGATTCTTTGTTTTTGTAAAAATTCATATCTTATTAAAAATTAAGAACTGATTACAGTCATTCTAAACCTGTCCAGTAAATTTTCTAAACTAAGAGCATTTATTCTAAACCAGTTCACTAAATTTTCTGTGCTTCTAAATAATTTAAAAAAAATATGTTTAAAATCTGTTTTTCCGTTAATCAGCTGTCGTCCCCATACTAAGACAACTCTCAGAAGTTGAGAAACTTGTGCGAGCTAAGGACTAACGAGGTCTTACCTTTTAACGTGTGATTCCTAACACGAATGTAATCCATGAAATCAATAAATACTAACATACAGCAGCATACAAATCTCTAGTTAGCAAGATACTGATATTTAACTCTTTGAGGGGCTCTGGTTCATAAAGTGTACCCAGAAAATATTGCATTTAATGGGGCGCTGGTCCAGAAAACGTACCACCTAGTCCCAATACTTGTAGTTGTCGGACCTCGGTTCAAATCTATAACCAGTGTGTATATTATATAGTTACTCAACTATATAGTTTACCGCTGGCTCACTTTCTGCCGCTATTTTCAACAATACGCGTCATTTTAGGTTATGATCACTGAAGCGTATCGTGAATTGTGTTCTCTTCTTATAAAACTCCTACAAAAGTAAGTAGAACAATGGGATATTTTTGTAAATTGTTACTGATGTTTTTGATGATGTCTGTAGACTATGCTGTTCACGGAATCATTCGAGTTTATCCATTCATCGTTGAAATATTTTGTGTAGTTTTGTGGTACCTTATTTGTACCACCGCCCCTCAACAATGATTTTCTTCTTTCCAGCGTTTCGTAATGGAATCCTTACCATTCAAACTTCAGGGTATGACTTATGAAGAATTCATACAGGAAATTGACAATATTGATGCCGAAGATATATACCCTCAGATCCTGAATCAATAGTGGAACAATCCGAAGATGAATTCGAAAATATCGACATCAATATCGATACTATACAGCCTGATAGTGATTCAGATCCAGAAAATAATTTGCCTCTCTCATTGATACAACAGCAGCTGTACATGACGTCGAATACACGTGACTGGTCTAGGAATACTATGCCAGAAGATCCAGAAATCTTCAATGCGGAGACTGGAGTAAGATTTTGTGAAAAATATGGACTCTCCTACACCTGGAAAACTTTTCCAACTATTTTTCACCGACGATCTCATAGAGTATATAGTCTTCCAAACTAATTTATACTGCCGTCAAACCTCCATGAGACCTAAAACTACGGACAAATCAGAAATGAAAGTTTTTTTTGCCATAAACTGGGTTTGAAAAGGCTACCCAGCTATAAGATCATTGGAGTAGCTCTTGAGATCTGAATGACCCATATATCAGTTCACTGATGCCAGTGAAGCGATTTAGCTGGATCCTTTCAAACCTACATTTGAATGATAATATAATTATGCCCAAGAAAGGAGAGCCAGGCTATGACAAACTTTATAAATTACGGCCCGTTCTGAACGAAATATCTAAAAATTTCATGGACTGCATGGCTCCTTCTAGGGAGTTGGCCATCGATGAATCGATGATCAAATTCAAAGGGAGGAGTA